TCTGTGATACTCCTTTAGATATCTCTTAATCTAGGATGTGTACAACAGCTGTTATCTGTACTACAGTGTGCAGCTTATATCAAACATTTTTGACAGATTTTTAGTACAACACTTAACTTGTTTACTGAACTCATGGGCCATAGAGAAGCAGATTATATCTTTGTGCTGTGTGGTTAAGAGCATGTGGTCATCCAGTACATAACTGATGAAAAACTCAGGCTCTCGGGACCACATGCATAATTTGCATTTTGTGTGGATAGGAAAATCCGACTTACACTTTTGACGTTCTCAAGGCTTCATGGGGTGTTTTTGTTGTGCTCCAAAGACTGTACACTGGCTAAACAGGGATTAGTCTAAAAGTGGTAACTAAGGCATTGGATTTAATGTCATGTTGACAGATGCCTGTCTCCTTTGAGCCCTGTGTGTTCTGCCTTGTGATTTCCAGAAAGAGAGAATGCAAATTTAATTATTTTTTGTGTCTTGCCTTCAGCACAAATGCAGTGTTCTAAATGACCGAATCCAGCCAGTTATCTTCCTGTCAGTTCAGCGGTAGCAGAATTCTTTCACAATCCTGTCTGACTTTAGTGTTTGTTCTGTTTCCCCCTGCTTCAGTTTCAGTGTGAGTTGGAAATGTGATTTTAATGCCACAGGCGACCAAAGCAACTTGTTTAATTACAACTTTTATGTTTGGTTACTTCTGGCACTTCCTAATTATCCATGCTGAAACTTTCATTGCTCTGTTTACACTCTGTGCCTGTTTCTTTTATTTCCCCTCTTTTTTTAATTTTATTTTTTTTTAAGGAACATTTTGGAGTTAATAGAATTTTTTGAAGATGACACGAGATACTACCTTGTCTTTGAGAAGCTGCGAGGAGGTACTGTGCAGTAACTGTGCCTTTGTTCATTGAATTGTCTTGCTCATGTTTTTCTCAGTGTTTTAGAGTAAAAAAAAAGAAGAGCTTCTTTTACGTGCTTGAGAATTTTAAGACAAGTAGCAGAGGAAATAATATACAAATCTTGAAGTGTGTTTTTTCTTGAATACTGACGAGCGTGGTCATACATTTGCAATCCCTTTGTGTGGTTAAATGATGGAAATGCCTCAATTAAAGTGGAAGCTTTGGAGTGTAGCTGGTAGGCCGCAGTACCTTCAGACAAGAGGAGACACACAGATGTCAGATACTGTGCATGATCTTAGTACAGCATCTGTGTACTCTGGTAGCATTTTCCCTTGCTTGACATCATCTCCTGAAACTCATGGAGCACTGTTGCAAAAACCATCTTGCTTCTGCCTTGGGTTGCTCTAGTTCTGGGGCTGACGCTTTGTGGCTGTTTGAGGGACAGTCAGGAGGGTGAGTGTGGTCACTGGTCACTAGCATTTACCTGGGGAATGAGAAGGCTACATCACGCACTTAGTGGACTTTTCAGCATTTGTCTGCATTGAGCATCATTACAGTGTCCATTAATTGCATGGCTGTGCAAAACCATGAGTTAAAAGTGTGACCTCCCCTCTTCAAAGTAAAACTAAGTTTCTGAAGGAGTACACTGCTGTCCATGGGACATCACCTGGTTGTCACTGGTCAGAAAGGTTTTCAGTAGTAAACCATTGTCTCCGTTTAAGGGTCAGAGAGAGAGAGAGAGCAGGATTTTTCTCTCTATTGCCCCTACCCCTCCCAGGGGGAGGATTAAGAGAAGGGAATAGAGAGAGAATAATAATAATTAAAAAAATTGCTCCGCACAAGGTTGGAAGTTAAGACTGTAACAAGTTTAATGAAGACAGCAGGGGAAAGGAAAAGGGAATTAATAAGGGACAAAGGATATTTAACTCCATACACAACCCGATCCCAGCAGTCCCCAGTGGCAGTGTCCCAGCAGGGCCTCGTGGCCGCTGTGACCGCTGTGACCGTCACCAGGACCGCGGTGGTGCCGGGAGCGGGTGGTGGTGGATGCTGCCGAGCACGTGGAGCTCGGCCCAGCCGTCCCGAGATGTGACAGGAAACAGCCCAGGAAACCAGGAAAAGCCCCGAAAACCTCGGTTTTTTACAGACTGTGTCCAGAAAGGGGAGGGAACAGAACTGATCTGTGACCCCCAGGGTCCTGCAGACACCACCTGTCCTTCCCTTTCAGGCTGGTAACCCTTAAACCATAACAACCGTATGTGCAAGCAATGTAATTTTTTTCAGTATAGATGCAGAACTTTCTTTGAAATGAGAAGGATGTGCTCCTTTTCTTGAGTAAAAGCTTTTGTTTACCTTCCCTTAAAATTCCTGCATCATTTTATTGCTGTTTTCTCTAACACAGTTTCTCTCAATGCACAAACCTCCCTGACAAATTAGTTGTAGTAGGGCTTGATGGGATGAATCTGCATTTGTCTGTTTTTCCATCTCCACATTCTTGCATTAGTTAAGCCTCCTCTTTGATGGTGAGACTGTGGTTATCAATCTGCCTGCACGGCTGCTGGGAGGGTAATAATGCTACACCTTCCTTCTCTTAGCTGCTGTTTTTGCAGTGGTCAGTTAGGGCTGAGGCTGGTTTTCTCTTTGAAAAATTTCAGTGTTTGAAGTGTATGTGGGTTTGAAGAAATAATGGGAATTGGGGACCAGACCAGCTTCTGATGCACTGTAGATCTTGTTGTAAGTGCTGTGGCTGGCAAGAATGAGAACATTAATTTTCAATGCAAGCCTTAGCTCAGTAACTCCAATCTGAGACCAATATTGCCTACACTGTTGGGACATAGCTTGGGCTTTCTGTTCTCAGTTTTGCCTTCCTGTAGCTGTGGTAACTGAAGGAGCTCTGCTCCCCTTTTAGCTGTGTCCAGTTCACCATGGGATGCAGAAGCTGTTTAATATCCTCACCTGACAGTATTTTATAATGGAACGTGTTAAAATCTAGCTTAATATACTGAACTTGCATGATTTAAGAGTCCTTTGCCTCCCCAGCCTCCCCCTTTTTTCTTCTCTGAAGTGCAGTTTGGGAGGTGCTGTCTGATGCTTTCTCTCTGAATACTGAAGAGGTGGTAATAACTGAGACGAGAATGCCCTGCTGTTCTTCCTGTTTGTGGGATTCCTCTCCGTGGGCTGAATATGAAGTCTGTAGAGTGTGTTTTCACTGATATTGATATAATCCTTATCCAAGAGAGTCTGGAACGTCAGCTCTATCAGAAAGGGTAATCTGGAATAAACCCGCTGTGTGAAATGAGCACTTCAGGTGGCTCGGTGGTGTTTCCTGCAAAGTCTGGCATCTTTTCCACAGCGATGGAAATGTTCAAGAGTTGTTATTACTTTCTAAAGGTGTAAAGAACAACTGTACCAGGAAAACCCTTGAACTCGGTGCCCTTAATAAATTTGTAGCAAACTAGAAAGTGTTGATTTTGGTGAGGGAAGCCTGTATTTGAAATCTGATAATCTGGTCGAAAGTGGGCTTCTTCCACCCCTCTGACACAGCATATCTGTGCATATCTGAAGAGTCTTTTATCGTATCAAAGCATCCCAAAAGAGTCTTTTGTCCATCTTCTTTTTGACGGTCTTTGCCGTTTCCTCTGAATCCTTGCTGTGGAGTTGTAACAGCATTGATGGCCTAAGAACAGGAGTTACTGCAGTAGAGAATGGGAGGTTTCCTTCCACATCTAGAACTGAAGAATAAAAATGAAATCACCCAAGATACAAAATGTTTCCTGCATTGGAAGCTAATAAGAAATGACAGTTACTTCTTGAATTTCTCTGCCTGATCACTTTTATAAATATACCTGTCTGAGAAAGAAAATGGAAGACAGTAGCAAGGCTACGTAGTGGGCTTGGATCTCTGGGGACTGCATTTAATCATTTTTTTAAGACATTTTTAATCTTTTGAGAAGATTGATGGAATTCACTTCAAGAAGATAAGAAATCAGACCTCCCTTTATCCTTTGTTAAAGGGATACCAGTGGAGCTCTGCCTGCAAGCTTCCAGTCGCTCTGTGCATTCGTATTTGAGAGGTCTTCTGTCAGAGTTTGTGTCCTTTGTCTTAAGTCCGTGTGTGAGCCTTGCCTTGATGTCAGTGTGAGCTTTAATTTGTATTTAAAGATAGAATGTCTTTTTTTTGATGGTGTTGAGACAAAAACATCCATACTTGACTTTGAGGGCAGGATTTCAATTGTGACATTACACACAATGAAGAGTATTAGTGTGAGCGTGGTCACCTGTGACCTGGGGTCGGGTGGGTTTAGCTGGTGTTTGAGTGTTACTGATACTATTAGCAAGTCTCTACTGTTCACAATGTGTGGAGAACAGACCAGTCGTGTCCTGGGGTGGTAGAAAGTGATTGCCTCTCATGCTGTGCTTAAACTAGAGGACTGCAGCATTAGAAAATTACCTTCTCGTGTGTTTAAGTGGTGAAGCTGCTTAGTTGTACCTTTTTCTTCTTAGTCATTCTGTTTGGTCCACAGATATTGCCTGCTGTGAAAGGCCATTATGAGATATGGGAAATGAGGTTATGGATTCATGATACTTGGTATTAGCTCATCATTATTTTCTGAGGCTGTTTTTATATAAAAACATGGGTTTGTGATGCTTCGGTTTCTGCCATGTAGACACACTAGGACAGAGTGTTAGTGGTGAAGAACTCTTCTAAATTACTTCTGGTCCCATTCACACTGAGCTCAGTTCTCCCTTTATGACAGCCTGGTAGGAGCTGTTGCGTTTTTATCCTTGTATTGACAAAGCCTTTGCTCAGCCCAGCAGCATTCACACTAAGGTTTTCCCTTTCACCTCTTACTCTTGCAGGTTCAATCCTGGCCCACATACAAAAGCAGAAACACTTCAATGAACGAGAAGCTAGCAAAGTAGTCAGAGATATTGCCTCTGCTCTGGATTTTCTTCATACAAAAGGTAAGAGGAGGGTTGTCTCCATCCTACTGGTTGATACTGTACGCTTAGTTTATGGAGCATATTTTATCTGTAAGTAGTCAGCCTTTGCTTGCACTTCTCTTTATACCAATGCCAGATTACTTATGTTGTTTTCCTCTATAACCTTATTTTCATAATGTGGTAATTTAAGTAATCAGCTGTGTTAAGATGGTGTAGCTTTTTGAAGAAGAACGTTCAAGTCGGTATCCAGGGAGAATTAACATTAGGCTTGAATCTGTTTGCTTGTTCCTGTAACCTAAGCTACCATGTAAAGGTTACTCAAAAGGGAGCTAATATTCTTTGTAGTTTCCTCCTCTTTCAGGTCTACAGAGAGCTTTCCTGTTTTTACCCAGAATTTCTGCTGGTTACAAGACCCCTTTCTTTGTAGTAGTTTTTGGTCTCCAAATTTAGACACCCACTGTTGGGTTGAGAGACCTACAAGTGAATCATACTTCTTGTTTGGAAGTGTCCTCATTTCATTAGGGATTTGCTCAGGTTTGAAAGCGGTTCTGTTTGTATAGAACTCTTTTATGTTAGTGTTTTCCTGATGCTTTTCCTACTTGAGAGTACTTTTGTTTAGTTTCAAAATACCTGTGTGCATTATGGTCACCCCAGCGTGTGTGTTTGTGTTGGATGTGATAGGTGCCTTTAAAATCTTTCCTTTGTCATGGTTATCTGGTCTTGCATAGATTAAGCAGCTTCAGTTAATGTTGTGGTGGCTACATCTGAATAGAATGGCATGTAATTGGAGGCTGTGTGTATTGGTTATTCTATTTTGTGTCTGTTTATTTAGCCATTCTGATTAGCCAGGTAGATCTCAGTGGATCTCGCTGTCTTAAGTTGTATAGCACTGGCCCCAGTTCAATCAGTGTTTAATTGTAGGCTTCACTTGTAAGTCGCAGGACTGCTTACATGCTTGAGTTGGAATCACAGCATTGGTACCTCGACAGGTTGAACCCTTTAAAAAGAAAAGCGTAGCAATGCGTAGGAAATAAAGTAGGGGGTGAACCTGAGGCATGTTGATCTTGTCACGTGTTGTGACTGTTGTGAGGAGTTAATTTGAACATGGGCACAAACTTCATTTTGATTAAGATTTCTGGTAATCTTCACAGCCTGTCTGTGAAATAACTCAACTTTAAACCTGCAGAGAGTGCAGCCTTTGAATGCGTGTTTAAAAGATTTTGACTTTCAGATATGGGGCAAATAAGGAGCAGGAAACTTAAGCTGAACGCGTGGAGAAATATTTGATGTGCTCAGGCTGCAGTAGGTTGCTTAACATCTGAAAGTCTAGGAACACTGTTCAAGGAAGTTTAACATAGACTCAGCTAATATCTTTCTGTAGTTCTCTCTCAGCTTTCAGTTTTAATTCCCCTTTCCCCAGACAGGAGGGGAGTGATTCATTAAAATTGCTTGAGAGGAGCAATCCACTTCCTTGCCGTTTGCTGTGAATCGGTACAGTGGGGACACAGCTTACAGAATTCCTCCAACATCCCCCTTCATTTTATTGTTCTCTTTATGGTTCTTCTGTGTGACATTAAAATAATTAGTAAGTAGCATACAGAACACTAAAGTAAACAGGAAATTAAAGCACAGCTTAATGGGGAAGTGCTATAGCTAGATGGTTGAAAAAAAATTGAATGAGGACAACTAATTCTTTTGCCAGGAGTAGTTTAAAACTCAGCTGGATGATAACACTGCCTTACACCCACTTGGAATATGTGTGCTTTATTGCCAGTAATCCACTGGAGGAGTGTTTGAAGGCAGTTGTTTTCTTTCCTCGGCGCTGTGTGCGACTGCAAAATAAAAGGTGATATAATGAGGTGTTGGAATTCAAACTGCAACACCAAAAAGTGCTGTTGTGTGTCACAGTGCGAGCGAAGCCAGCTGTGGGCAGTTCTGTCAGCCTTGCTGTAAATGTCAGCACAGGCCATCTTTGTTGTTTTTCCCATCTTCCATGCACCAGCAATGTGAACTGCCTCATGAAACCTGTGATTCCTTTGGATCAGTGCTGTGCTGTTAATGTTATATTTTCAGCCATGTCTTGTTGAGTGTGCTGAAGAAAAGACATTAAAAACTCCCTTACCTAGAATTTGGTGGGGTGCTTTTTTTCCTCATACTCTGAAGTAGTGTCGAGTATAATTTTTTTTAAGCAAAGCTAAAGTTCAATTAAATTACAGCCAAGCTGCTTGTTTTATTTGATTTTTTGTTGTTGTTGTTCCCATTTTTTGCCTTCCCATTAAGTTTGAGTGGTTGAAATGGAGAACTTCCAGAAATGGTGTGTTTAGGCATGTGAAGAACTGCTTTGACAACCTCTGATGTGAATTCAACAGGTAGAAACCTTTGTTTCCCTGTTGGTTTTGTCTGTTCTGATAGCAGCTGAATGAATGTAGAAGCCCTTTGGTTGTTCTCCTTTATCCTTTTCCTCTGCAACTCCAACCAAGCCCTTTGATTTGTATTTTACTTCAGGAATGAGTACAAACCTCACTGTTTAAAGGGATGATGTTTTCACCTGGGAACTCAGGAGGTTTTCCTGGGGATAGTGTCTCAGGTATTGTCTGTGCTGGTAGGAGTTCAGCAAACCACCAGTTGATTCCTCTGGAGAGAAGGACCTTACTGCAGAAGGCACAAAAATCTTTTGACTAAACTGTGTGCAACAAGTAAACTTTCCTACAGGTCATTCATCTTAATAAGCCCATTTTAATTAACACAATTAATTTGGGCCAAGCCAAAGAGTTCCAGTGTTAGCAGGTTCTTTTATGCCTGACTGACCCTTATGTACATTTAAGGATGATAAAGGCTTAACAGGATGCAACAATGACTTTTAACAAACACACTTTGAAATTCAATTATTTGCAGTATTGTTAAGGGGGGAGAGGTTGTGTGGCAGACTCAGGCCTAGAATATTTCCCAGGCCACCTTCTAATGAAGAAAGATAATGATGAATAAATCAGGAGAGTATCTTCTGTAATGAATGTTTGTACTCTTGTTTAGGTATTGCTCACAGGGACCTGAAGCCTGAAAACATCCTGTGTGAATCTCCGGAAAAGGTGCCTCTCTGGTCTCTTTAACTTTCTGAAGTGTCATTTTTAACTTCATTTCCTAAGACAGCCCTCACGTTCTGTCTTACTGAAAATGTTTGAACCTGTTAGTGATCCTCAACTGAATTTGATAGAACTGAAGCCAAAAAGAGACAAAATGATTCTGTGAGCTGTAGAAATGTGAGCATCTGACTAAGAGATTAAAAAACAACTCTTCTTAGGGTATGGCAACTACAGCTGAGCATCTCGTCTGTTCAGAGGCACTACCCAGATGGACAAACAACACTTAGAGCTGATCATGTATAGGTCCCAAACCGCCCCAAAGTGTACTGGCACTTGCCTGGACAAATAAAGAATTAATTTAATAAGGCCAGATGCTGGGGATGTGGGAGCAACTGGGGCAGAGGCAGCAAATGCAAGAAGTAGCCTATATCTGCAAGAGACTGGGTTTCACCAGTCCTTGTGCTGGAACAACTTGGGGTTTGTCCTGAGGTTTTCTGCGTGGCACTGTACTCATATTGCCTCTGTCCCGGCCTTCTGGACTGCTTACCGTTTTGTCCTTGGTTTTAGATATCACCAGTAAAAATATGTGACTTTGATCTTGGTAGTGGGGTGAAGCTGAACAGCGCGTGTACTCCGATAACCACTCCTGAGTTGACAACACCGGTAAGAGACCTACTGCGGCTTCGTGCTTTGTCTCTTCTACTGTAAAACATTTTTCCTTATCTGCAGAGAGCTTCCGGAGGGCTTACTGCAACTACAGCCAGTGGTGGATAGTTCATTTAAAGCGGGTGTCTGGATGGTAAATACTGTCTTGGTTTCCCAGTCATAGAACAAATATAGAAAAGCACGGGATCCCATTGTGTTAATTCCTGTTGGCCAGAAGGTAGGGCATTGATCCTGTTTGTCTCTGAGCTCATCACATGAGGAAGCTTTTTGTAGAAGTTTTTTTGTGTGCTCATGGACTGAGTTTTAACCTTTTGTGTTCATTTCCTCATGTTTGGGTTCTGTAGCTCCGACCCATGAGCTAAGAACGATGCAAGCTCTGTAATCAGTCTGTGGCTTTATGACACGCGTTAGTTTGAAAAACTGCAGTGTTACGCTTTTGGCATTTTTGTGACAGAAAGATCTGACCGTTTTGCGGCAGACTGTTACAGGTATCACCCCCAGTGTTACACTTGTTTACTTTCTGAAAAGCCTGACAATTGATAAGATTTAAAAACCTGAAATATGTAAATTAATATTTTGAACCTGTGTAAAGGATCATAGTTTCACATGGAACATCTTACGATTCTGCTAAAGAACAGTAGGAACTCTTTTGCTTTCTATTAGGTCTCTATAGTCCTTACACCTGAAATGTGTTAAATTTTTCCCTGTGCATCGTACTCACAAAACATTTCAAAGCTCTTGACGATTCCATTGAACATTTGAGGGGTGCAGCAGTTGTGATTTGGCTTAACAAAAGGAGACCTGCAGTGAAAGCCAGCAGTAAACTTCAGTAGTTCCTCATGCCAATCCAGCATTTAGACCAAGCCACCTTCTGGAAAGAGAGGAGAATGAGAATCCTGAGTCTTGTTTTGATTTGACCCTGGTTTTGAAAACTTGAATTTGGTTTCCTAGTGTGGATCTGCAGAGTACATGGCACCCGAAGTGGTTGAAGTCTTCACGGAGGAGGCCACGTTTTATGACAAGCGGTGTGATCTTTGGAGCCTGGGAGTGATTCTGTACATCATGCTCAGTGGGTACCCCCCTTTTGTGGGCAACTGTGGCACCGACTGTGGCTGGGACAGAGGAGAAGTCTGCAGAGTTTGCCAGGTGAATGTGCACGGCCTGGGGATGTGTGGGAGGGCGTAGTTTGCCCTGTGAACCCAGACTTGTCATAATGCCAGCAGTGAATGGCTGTGTCTGTAATCCAAGCAGCTGTCTGCGAGGATAAGCTGTCACTGAGAAGTGAGGGTGGTAATACAGAAGTTGTGTGATGATATCTCTGAAGTAAACTGGCAACTGCCTCTTTCTTTTCCTGATGTGAGGTCTCGGAGCTGCTGCTCATCCTCTCCCCCACCCTGCAGTTCTCCTGTATTCTGTAATTCCTGATCTGGTTTTCGGTAGTCGCCACAATTCCTCAGATAAAAGTGGAGCCCCAGGAGAGTCTCCATGCATTCTTTCTAAAAACTAACACTGGCTGCACTGTGATGTGGAGGGTAGTGGTGGGCAGGTGTTTCCAGCAGACAGTGTATCATGGCCATCTTAGGATGCACTGAATCACTCCATGGAGCTGCCTGTCGCTCTCCATTGACTCTGTAAGGAGTCGGGACGGTTTCAGTTGTCACCACCACTTGTCACCACCACATTAGATGGATAAAATTGATTGAGAAGAATCCCACCTGGGAAGTATTCTTGTTGCAGTCTAGTTGCTATTTAAATTAAAGAAATTTTTCTTTACTAGAACAAGCTTTTTGAGAGCATTCAAGAAGGCAAGTACGAATTTCCTGACAAGGACTGGTCGCACATATCCTCTGAAGCCAAAGATCTCATCTCAAAGTTACTGGTTCGTGACGCCAAAGAACGACTTAGTGCCGCTCAAGTTTTGCAACATTCATGGGTTCAAGGAGTACGTATCCCCTTGGTGTATTTGTGAGGGTTATTCTTCTTCCAGAGTGACAAACAAGCTGCTCCTTGTCTCTGAGCTTTCAATAGTCACTGGGTGTTTTAGTGCTCTTATCTTGATTAGTTAAATGATCTGCAGTGGCTTTATTCTTTCAGGAGCTCTGTGTGGTAAATATTTGGATCAATCTGTCAAACTTTAAGTGGTTATTTTAATTGTTGCTTTATGCATTTTAAATAGCTTTCTGGTTTGTACCAAGCACTGCAGTACATGAATTATTATGTTATTCACTAATGCAGTAATGCAGAATGCTGGTAGATAGGATTTGAAAGGAACTGCATTGTCCTGTTTTGCTTTAGTCCCCAGTTCAGGAAAGAAAGGATAGACCCTCTGGAGAGCTTCCAAAGCTTTAGTCTTGTACCTGCAAACTGTGGTATCTTCTTGTGTGCGGAGATAGATTATGAAATGTGATTTATAAACCGATAGTGTTTTATAAACCCACAGTGAATTAGTTCGTGTGCAGTATCCAATAGTTGTGAAGATGTAGGGGGGGTTCCCTGGTTTTTATCACTCTGTCTTGGGAAAGCTTGGTTCCCAGCTGCTGATACATAACTAACTTTTCTTAACTGCTTCTTCCAGCAGGCTCCTGAAAGGGGATTACCCACCCCTCAAGTTCTTCAAAGGTATTTTTTTTTAATGTCTATAAACTTGGCCAAGAATCATTACTGAAAGAATGGGGAGAGATAGGAGGGGACAGATCAGAGGTCAAGATCCCTGGTTGACAGTGAAACTTCATAAATGTGCAGCACTAATTTTTTTAAGAAACATCAGAAACATTAAAGCTCTGATTTTTCTTCATCATCTAATCTTGCTTGTTCATGGGAAAGGTTATTACAGGCATTGTGCTTATAAAGCATTGTGGTGCAGTGCTAACCTTAGACAGGAAATAATGATGGTTTTGGCAGTTTGCTGCTGAAGAGGGGTAAAAAAAGCATAAAGGTGTGTGTTGTCCAAAGAGACTAGATTCTGATGGGTGAATTAACTTCATACACACACTCAGGTCTGACTTCCATTGTAGTTGGTGGTAATCCCAGTATCAATTTAACTGTGAGCAGGGCAGGCCTCATTTAAAGGGATTTGATGGCACATTCTGTATATCAGGGAGTCCGAGTCACACATCTGTTTGTTTCCATGCCTGCCACTGGCAATTCCAGGTGGTTCTTCCCATCAGAAGTGCATTTCCCTAAGCCAGATGTGCAATTGCAGTGGGATTGCAGTTCTCTGAAGAAAGACAGCAGTATTACCCCATAATCTTTAACATGTAAAAATTAAGCATGGCATCTCAAATGGCTTCCTGGGTTTGCATCGGAAGTCCTTGGCAGAACGAGGACTAGAAGTGTGCCTGTTTCCAAAATCCCAGAGTGTTTTTGTTACGTATTGCTGGTCCTTGCCAAGAGGAGAGATGCAAATATTAACTGGTCATTTTGCCTGCTGTGTTGATGCTTTGATAGGAGAAATGAAACTGCCTGGAAATAGATACTCTGCTGTGAGGGGGTACCCAGGTGAAGTGACTTTCTGTGCGTGTTGTAACTGCTTTCTCCTTTTCTCTTGAGAGGAACAGCAGCACAAAGGACCTGACGCTTTTTGCTGCTGAGGCTATAGCCCTTAACCGCCAGTTGTCTCAGCATGAGAATGGGCTCAGCGCAGAGCAGGAGAGCGTTGCCCACGCTGTGTGCTCCATGAAGCTTTCTCCTCCGTCCAAGTCTCGCCTCGCCAAGCGCAGAGCCATGACGCACGCCACCAAAACCAGTGACTTTCAGCCAGTACCCCACAAAGCCTTTTAAACTTCTTTCCTGCTATGGATTGGCAAGATCAGCCTGTGTTATTTGGGTTTTCAGTGCTGATAAAAGCTGCTCTGCTTCTGACTCCTTGATTAGAAGCTTGCTCTTGTAATGTGACTTGTAACTTTAAGGGGACAGCTTTTTATGGAGATGTTTTTTGCCTGTCAGAGTCGGTGCATTAAGATAATTTAACTGATCTTTTTAAACTGGAGAAGATGGGTTTGCTGCTGTATTATCTGAGTTGATAAATCACTAAGCTTTCCTTATTTTCCTCTTAGAAGAGCATGCTCTAAAATGCAAACTTGAAAACATCAGAAAAAAACCCCCCACTTCCTTGCTTTGCCTGGCAGAGCATTACATCTCTCCTTGCCTATGGCTGCTCTCCTCGATGGCACATCTTGCAAGGTGCTACTGCTTGTGTCAGCAGCAGGGCCTGTTTTCAGCCTTCTCCCTGTAGACTCAGGAAATGAAGAAGATGTCTGGATGGATCTCTGTCTCCATTACCTTCACTGAGCTTAAACTGTATGAGGATGATACTGTAAAGGTGTGGGGGTCACTTAGGCTTGTAGGGATGAAGAGAACTGAGTTTTTTTTTTTATCCTGTTTGATAGTTTGTGTGTTAGAGTGGGATGAAAGCTGTGTTACTTCTTCATCTAACATCTTTTTGTTCTTAACTAAAATGTACTCCATGTCTTTTGTGTGTGTGTCCAGTATGTCCTCTTCTCTGGCAGTTACGTTCTTAAGTCTGATAACCACGTTGTAACAGACTCTTTATGTAATGGTTTATATTTAGTATCTGTTTCTTTCCCCTATATTAGTACTATCCTCAGTTATGCCTTCCTTTCTGTAAACTCATTGTTGTCCAAATCCTTTTGTATGTGTTACCTGGAGTTCTTAATGTGAATGGACAGGCTTCAGTGAGTTGTGGGGTGAGAGTAATTTGAGATTATGGGAGGTACAGCTGTACAGTAAAAATGGTGCTGTGGCTGTTGTGTTCTGCCTCCTGCAGGGATCTCGGGCTGGATGTCTAGATTTTAGCTTCTAGTTTTAGTACTGTAGTGCACCAGGGGTCAGGAGTAATTTGGAAAGGTACTGGCTGAAAAGCTGAAGATTTTGTGTGACCAAGGTGAGGTGTCCATGGAGAAGGACATGGATGTTGAGCACTTTCTGAAACATAAGCTGTGAAAATTGAGCCGCTGAGATGCCTGACATGATGCACCTTAAACGTGCCAGCCATTTCTAAAAACCTTTGCCAGGACATTGTGTGCAGGGTGGAGAAGGGGAGGAGGAGGCCCCCAAATGCCGGCACAAAACCTTCCCAAGCAGAATGGGAAGGGATGAAGTAGCAGATCCAACAGGCACTTGGAAATGTAAAGATCAAAGCTGAATGTCTTTGCATGGCCTATCCAGAGTGGTTTTACATTATCTTTTAGCAGTGTGCATACAGCTATTTTTATACAACATGCAGTATTTTGTGACTAATATTAAAGTTGTTATTTAAAAGGTTTTATACATTGTGCCAGTGGACGGATTATGAAATGTATTTTGCTTTGTTTTTATTAAAATGCTTTAAGTTATGGATTTAACACACTTAGCAGTTTTGGGTGGTTTTTCCTCTTGATTTTTGGTGACTTAAAAATACAGAATTACATCCTTACTTCTCTGTGTGACATTGGATGTAAGACAATTTAAGCCTCTGAAGACTAAGCATGCCTCCCTCTTCTGTTACTTTATCAGTCTCTGGAGGCTCCTGTGATCTCAGCTTTCTTGAGGTAAAATGATGATATGACTGCAGAGAGATGGCTGGAAGGGGATCCTGTGATCCTTTTGACCTTTGGAAGAGATGAGGTAACTGAGGGCCAGTGAGTTCAGGATCTCACCTGCACTGTTACATCCCATCCTCCCTTTGATTTGTGCATGAAGCAAAGATCCTGAAGCTTGGCCAGGAGTGGTGATGTGATGCAAAATGCTCTTTTTGGATGGAGCCCTGAAGCCTTTCAGACTCCAGAAATCCAAGCAGCAGCATTAGCATGGAGGTGTGAACAGGGGACATTAATGAGGCTGCTTTCCCAGGCATGATGGTGTCTGGTAGATCTAGTCAAGCGTTGGTAAGTAGTCCTCAGCAGACCCTGCTCTGCACCTGCTGCCTTTCTCTGGTGGTAGAGGTAGCCCCAGGGTGCGAGTTAGTGGAGAAAGGACCAAAACTGCTGTTCCTGGGTGAACTGTTGGTCAGGACAGTCAGTCCTTTCCCTTCTCTCTCCAAAACACCCATCATGGAAAGTGGATCCAATGTGTGTGTCCCCTGCACAGCGAGGAAGAAGCTGACTTGCTGACCAGATTTGCTTTCCCTTGAGAGAGAGCTTTGGAGGAGAGTGAGATGTCCAAAGATAACCTCAGTCTGGGGATATCCATGCCATTACCTTTGGCTAGTGGAATCGCTGTCTAGGTGAGCAAGTACCCCTCTGGGCTTGAAGCCTTCTCCTGCATGACAGCACTTCAGCTGCTGGATGTGTGGGGTGCAAAGGATTTTAAGCACTGCTGTGTGAAACATCAGCAGTGCCCAGCAGGACTTGCACTAAATGGTCAGACCGTGCCTGATGGTTACAGCAAACCCTTGAGCTGGTGGCTCAGGGCCCCATCTGCCTCTTGTGGTGCTCTCTGCTGACTTTCGGATGCTGCCACAGTTACCTCCACGCATGACCTGTATGACAGCATCCTGGCTCCCCACCGGTATGTACATACTCGCAAACTCATCTGTTCAGTACTTGGAGCTGATGTCAGGCTTTTCACTGAAGAGCTAAAATCAGGGCATGCTTTTCCTTCTGCGAGGCAGTCACCACTGGCAGAGAGGAAGGCGAGCAGCAGTACATGCCAGAGCTGTGTAATGCTGGAAACTGAGAGAGCCTCCCCAAACAGGGAGGAGGCGTTGATTTAAGGCAGTTGTTCTGCTCTCAGGTATAGTCTGGTTTTGAGTGCCTCTTGCAGAGTAATTTTTTAGTTTCTCTGGAGGTCTGTGGCTAAGAGTTTGTAATGGAGTTTGGGTGAGGAAGAGGTGGGATGCAGCACTCCCCAGCACCCTGTGCCTGGCATAATCTGATCAGTCCGACTGTGATAAACACAGTGGATTTTAGCTCCTTTTCCAGTGAAGCCTGAACAGAGCAGGGATCCCAAATCAGGTGGCAGGCCCTTTATTTGTACTCACTTTTCTTTTAAAGGAAATCTGCCATATTCACATCAAGTGCTTTTGTCTGGACTGTGCTTTAAAACCAGCTGCTTCTCCTTCCCTCTTCCTCCTGGGCAAGAGAGGTAGCAGAGAGCACAGGAGACTGCAGCAGTGGAACAGGAGCGATGTTTCAGTGATACAGGTCTTAGATCTTTGCCTCAAAATGAGAAGTCTGATTCAGCTGATGGTCCAACGGTCTCACATTTCAGGTGTGTATTTCCCTCTGATCTTTATCTTTTAATGTGAGTTGAGCTTGCTTTAGGTGTTTCATCCCCAGAAGACCTAACTTGGTAGGCTTTCATGATGCTTTTTTCATGTCAGTGGGGAAGAGGCACTTGCTTCTGCGTGAGAAGTGACTAAATCCAGAGACTCCGTGTTCTGTCCTTTTGAAGCAGTGCTGGGTTTACTCTTGTTGCCCGAATATCTCTTGTTTGGGCAGCATCACTGAATCCCATCACCTCCCCTTTGGAAAGGGCTGAATCTCTGTGCCACACTTTCTTGGTTACTGGTGGTAAAATACAACATGCAGCTTATGTGGGGTCCCTGGCTTCTGAAACAGTGAAAGGGGCTGCAAAACATGTCCTTTTGGTGGGGAGGTGGGGTGGTGGGTAAGGCAAAAGGAAGTTTCAAGAATTCAGAATTATGTTCTCACCAGCAAGGAGAGCAGCAGAGCAGCTAAGCTGATCTTTAATGTTGTCTAAGGCTGCCCCCCCAGAAAGTTCTCTTTTCTGCTTTTCCTGAGAGGTGAGCGAGCAAACCAAGGGAGAGGCATCAGCACGATTAAGGGGGAGTAATTTCAAACAAACAGTGACCAAACAACACTGGTCTCAAAGTTGCCCCTTCTGTCCGCTCCGAGCTGCTGGCACAGGATGCTTTGCAGGATTTTGCTGATTTCTGAGCAATATTTCACAAAGTGCATTCAACCTCGTCCTTACCGGTGTGGTTTCTGCATTGTTGGTTGCATAAAAGGAAGCTGCTGTTTCTCATTGTGTGGTGTTTTCTTCTGCTCTCTTCCTTCCCCATGTCATTATTGAATCCTTTATTAGGGATGAAAAGGTGCCGTTATTTTTCTTGAGGGCTGTGGCTGGGCTGGCTTTCAAGGTAGAGAGCAGCTTGGTTAATTTTAAAAACTAATAATTTTCTTTGGGCCACTCCAGTGGCAGCAACAGGCTTCAAATTTGGCTTCCATGGAAACACACTGCCATGGTAACTGAAAGGCCTGACAATCCTGAAGAAATATTTCCTTGTACCCTTCCTTCCCTCCTTCGCTGTTTCCCCTGCGATGTGTGTTTGGCTACCCCTGCCAGATGCAATCAGTGCATTTAAAATGCTCCAAACACAGAAATGCACTTCTCTGGGATCAAAACACAAAAAGCTGTAGAAGTGATGGCAGCGTTTCACTGGTATTGTTTGCAAAAAAGCAGTTTTGAGTCTGGAGGGAGATGGCACTGAGCCACAAATGCTCTTCCAATGGGGACAAAAATAAATCTCAAATAAATGCTTCGTCCTTTAGCTTATTTTGTGGGCACTGGCTGTCATGGGCTGGTTCAGGGAATCAGACCCTGCACCTAGTCCAGCATCTGTAATACCAAAGATGGTGAGTGCTGACTCATCCAGTGGCTGTGAGATGGAGCCGGTGTTTTACTGGGTCCCTTCCAGCTGCTTAATTTGACACTAGATTTTCTGTTGCTCCCTATCACAGCTGCTTTCAGACCAAGACTGGTTAGCAAATTTTGGCAGGGTGACAGGCAGCCCCAGTTCAGCAACTTTGTTCTGATTC